AGGGGCTGTGCGGTGACGGCACACGGTGCTGTACAGCAGCTCTGACTCTGCCCCCAGGGGACTTGGCCCCAAAAGCTGCCAGGCTGAGAAGGAAACCGGAGCAACTGCTCACCCGGGGTCCCAGGGCTTCCAGAGACATCTCCGCTCTGCACACAGGGGCATGAGGGAGGGAAAGGAGAGGTGTGAGGGCAGGCTGCCCCCTCCCAGGCCGACTGCAGTCTCCATTCCTCCGCTGCCCATTTCTGCCATTCCCAACCAAAACTAACCGAGAAGGCAGCAGTGTGGAGAGGCTGGAGGGACGAGGGATACTTGAGGGCACTCCTTGTGTGTTGTGCATGTCACATCCACATTCCTGTGAACCGTGTCACACCCCCAGGGAGGACACTGTGAGCATGAAATATTTACCCCGAATGCCAGCCAGTGCTAAGCCCCTCCTTTATCCATCTCACAGAACAATTATGCCCTTTCTGTCTCCGTGATGAGCACCCAAGTGCTGCTTCTATCCCCGCCCAATGGGACCAGTTAATTCACTGATTAGCCAATTAAACAACCCATTAAGCAGCTGCCCTGAGCCCTTGGCTTACACCTTCTCCTCCCTGCTCATATTTCAAGTATCTTTCAGACACAGCTACTTCCAGCCAACCCGGCCCATTCAGGCCCCCACAGAGCCTCCTAGCACCCCTGGCTCGGGGCCAGAACCTCTCCAATGTTCCCCCCAGATCACCTGGGTGCTTATTTGAAATGTAGATTCCTTGCTGGGGAGATGCTGCAGTTCTCTGGAGGTCAGGAGCATCTTTGATGGTGACAGGTACACAAACCCAAGGTCTGAACAGGACCCAAGCCTGGCGCAATGCTTTAATGGCTGGATCCCCACCTTGCAAGTACCGGGATCCCATATAGGCACCAGCTTGTGTCCTGGCTGCTCCACTTCCCTCCCATCCAGCTCCCTGCTTGGATATATATAAATCCTACATATATATATGGAAGAGGACCCAAGATCTTATATTTTGGAAAATGTTCCAGATCACACAGCTATCCTTGGTTTGTGGACCACACGAAGTGGTCAGGCCCTTCTAGACCAAGCCCTCCTACCTCACTATCTTTCAATAGGAAATATGCTGACACACAGTGAGCACTGGGACAGGCATCCGGGGAGGTCTCCTCCCATTCGCCCCGCCTGCCGGACCTTCCACCACTGGTCACACTTTGGTTCATTTGTACGGATCTTTCCATCCAAAGTCTCCCCAAACTAAACAAGCCAATGAGGTCATCCAGATCCCGCCCCACCTCCTGCCCTTCACAAATGGCAGTGTGCTGCACACAGGGCTTGAGTAACAGTTTATCTTGGAGATAACTGGACATAGTCAGCTGATTCATGCTTTTAGAGTTCCATTATTATTCCATTATATGGATAAGCCATCACTTATTTAACTAGTCATCGTCCGGTGGATGTTAGGGCTGTTCCTGAATTTTCTAGCTGACCACACCTCGGCCAACCTTGCTATATGACACCCATTCCCCTCCTCCACCTTACATCCATTCCTGCCTCATTTTCTTTTCTTTTCTTTCTTTTTTTTTTTTTTAAATGATTTATTTATTGTAAAGTCAGATATACAGAGAGGAGGAGAGACAGAGAGGAAGATCTTCCGTCCAATGATTCACTCCCCAAGTGAGCGCAACGACCGGTGCTGCGCCAATCTGATCTGAAGCCAGGAGCCAGGAGCTTCCTCCAGGTCTCCCACACGGGTGCGGGTCCCAAAGCTCTGGGCCGTTCTCGACTGCTTTCCCAGGCCACAGGCAGGGAGCTGGAAGGGAAGTGGAGCTGCTGGGACTAGAACCGGCGCCCATATGGGATCCTGGCACATCCAAGGCGAGGACTTCAGCTGCTAGACCACGCCGCCAGGCCCCCCTGCCTCATTTTCTACATGCCCTGCTCAGATCCCCCAGGCCCACCTGGTGGTTACCTTCTTCACAGAATCCCTGTGCTTGGTGACCCCCTGCCACTGGCTGTCACTCCGTGGTCTCTGCCTGGCTCCCTCAACAGACCACAGTGACTGGAATCAGGAGCCACATCTTTGCACTGACTCTGGCTTCCTCTTGGCCCAGTGTTTTTGGGAGAACACAGATTATCCTGCAGAAGGGCCTGGGATGGATACTGCTTGATGCTGACTCAGCTGGAGTGCTGGCTGGGTGTCAGAGCCCAGGGTCACCGAGGGTATAGAGATCTCACACTGGCAGAAGGCAGCCCCTCTGAGGCCGGGGTGGAAGGCACCTGAGTGATATGAGATGATGGCCAAGGAAGAAGAGGGTATGGGGTGCCCTGGTGCTCATTCCAGGGGGACAGCGAGAGGAACCTCGAGGAAGGGTGTGGGTGTGCACACACCCTTGAGCAGGTGCCTTTCCTTCTCTGTGAATGTCCTTGTCACCCTTCCTGGGCCAGCTTCCAGCTCCACTCTTCCAAGATGCCTTCCTGGACTCCAGCCTCCGTGACCCTGCCTCATTTTGGTCGCATCTTTTTGGCTCATTTAGTATTCACAACCTTGAAGCATAGAAGCCACAGCTTCCCAGGAAAGCACTGAGCTCCACCACTGTAGAAATGAGGCCAAGGTTGTCTCCTCTCCCCAGGATCCCAATCCCCTGCATGGGGCTGGGCTATTGTGAAACCCACGGATGCTCCTGGAACAGACAAAAATTGGGTTCAGGAGTGCCCTGACAGTGGGTGAAAAGGGAAGCTAAAGGCAAGTGTGTCTCTGACCAGAAACATTTGGGAACACAGGGATTTTTTTGTTAAGATTTATTATTATTATTGTTATTAATTTTTTAATTGGAAAGTCAGATACACAGAGAGGAGAAGAGACAAGAGAAAGATCCTCTGTCCTCTGATTCACTCCCCAATCGACCGCAATGGGCCGGAGCTGAGCCAATCTGAAGCCGGGCGTCCAGAACCTTTTCCGAGTTCATGCCGGTGCAGGGTCACAAGGCTTTGGGCTATCCTCAGCTACTTTCCCAGGCCACAAGCAGGGAGCTGGAGGGGAGGTGGGGCTGCTGGGATTAGAACAAGTGTCCAAATGGGATCCTGGTGTGTGCAAGGCGAGGACGTTAGGTACTAGGCTACTGCGCCGGGCCCCAGTTTTTGTTTTTAGTAAGGATTTATTTATTTACTCCAAAGGTGGAGATATAGAGTCAGACAGAGAGACAGAGACTTCTTCTACCACTGGTTCACTCTTCAGGTGGCCACAGAGACCAGAGCTGGGCTTGCTGGTCTAAAGCCAACAGATTGTTCCAGGTCTCCCAAAGACCCAGGTCATCTTTCACTGCTTTTCTAGGCGTATGAGCAGGGAGCTGGAGGGAAGAGGAGCAGCCAGGACTTGAATGGGCACCCAAAAGGGATGCCAGGGCCACAGGCGGTAGCTTTAACAGCTACACCATCGTGCTGGCCCCAACACAGGTTTTCCTGATGCCACAGCTCGCTCTCATGCTGTTCCTCCATCTCTCTGCCTGTTACCTAGGAATCAATGACATCACACCACAGACCCTGCAGGTGGGGCTCATCCTGTCCCCTGAAGGTAAAGCAGTGAAGGGGAAGGTCCAGGAATGTCACTGTCACAACAACAAACAAAAACAGAAGATTGAAGATATCAAAAAGCACAACAAATGTAAGGGGCCAGTCTTGATTGCACTGATTAGGAAAGAAAAAAAAAACCATACCCTAAAACGAGGGGCCAGTGTTGTGGCATGGCCAGTGAAGCTGCTGCCTGGAACTCCAGCACCCCACACTGGAGTACCCATTTGAGTCCTGGCTCATCTGCTTCCCATCCAGCTCCCATTAATGCACCTCTGGGAACGCAGCCGCAGCTGGCCCAAGTGCTTCAGCCCTGCCACCCACTTGGGACACTCAGAAGCGTTCCTGACTCCAAGCTTGGACCCAGTAGGTCCAACCCCCCACTGCTGCAGCCATTTGTCAAGTAAACAAGTAGATGGAAGATTTGTCTGTGCCTTCCAAAAACATAATTCTTTGGGAAAAGACAAACAAAATGACATTTGGGGCAGCAATGCAACGATTTTCAGTAAGGAGTGAATGACAGGCGATGGTGATGCTATCCGTGTCCGCTTTCTCCCAAATGACCACCGTGCTGTGATCCTGTAGCATGTGCTACAGGTTCCGTCCCTTTGGGGGCGAACCAGAGGATGGAAGATCTCGCTCTGCCTCTCCTTCTCTAACTCTGCCTCTCAAATAAAAATAAAAATAATATACATATTTTTAAAGTACTACAGAAGATGACAGGTGGGCCAGGATGTTCACAGCTTCCAATCTTCAGCACAAACATAAAAATTAAAACACACAACTGGTGTGTGTGTTTTTGGGGGGGAGGAGCGACAAGAGAAAGTGAGAAGAGAATCCATTCGCATGTTTTAACACTGGGGAACCCAGGTGTTTACAGAACTATCTTTTCCAGTTTTCTGTGAATGCAACTTTTCCAGGTAACAGACGCAGGGGAAGCGCCTTGGCCGCCCTGCCTGGGGAGGAGTGAGCATCAAGGTGGCAGGGAGTTCAGAAGTGCTACTTGGTCACCACTCCTCCAGCTTCTGCCCACGCTGCCCTGGAAGCATCCCCCACCTCCCTCCCTGATTCTCCCCTCAGATCCTTCACCTAGGGTCACCTGTTTCCAGTGGACGAGTGACCACTGTGACCTTCAAGGACCCCTTGCTCAGCTGTCCTGAGGAGAACCAAACCCCCAAGTGAGTTTGAATAATTAAAAAAAATTATATATATAATAATATAATAATAAGTTCCTTAGAGAATCTGAGGCACCAGTCAAGCCTCAGTCACCTGTGTTCTCCTGGGAGCGAAATCAGCACACGGTTCACCGTCCACTTGGATTTTTTTAATGGGAGGTAGACCAGGTGCCCGTGGACTCAGGTCTAGGATGCTTTGACAGATTGGCTTTGGCCACCCGGGTCCTCGGGGTGGCCCCAAGCGTCGTTCCCCTCCCCCTCACCCCACTGCCCACATTGACCCCGGGACGTAGCCACCGCGTCCTGGCCCCGGAGCGGGGGATGGGGGCGGGCCTGGAGCGCCTGGGAGAAGGGCGGTTCGTCTCACAGGCGGGGCGCGGGCCGGGGGAGGTCCCCAGCCCACCGGGCCGTGCCAACAATGGCCTGTTGTAGAAGGAGGCTGGAAGGAATGCGGCCCGGGGAGTTGGGCGGCGGGGCGGCTGCCGCGGGGCGGGGCCGGAGTTCAGCCGCAGCCTCTTACCTGCCCAGGTAAGCTCGCATTTCCAGGCGAGCGGCGGCGCCCGCAGCACCTGTCGCCGGCGCGCGGGCGGGGAGGACGGCGGGGGCCATGGCCCGGTAGGGTCCCCCGGGCAGGGCGCGCGCGCGCGTGGAGTTGAGACGCGGGGTAGGGCTGGGCGAGCGGCGCAGGTGCCCGCGGCGCCCGCTCGGCCTGCGGCGGCCAGCATGAAAAAAAACCAGACGGTGCAGGGCACTTTCAGCAAACTCTTCGGGAAGAAGCACGCTAGCCCCGACTCCACCTCTCTCTATGCCACCAACCCGCCCTGGATTTTCACCCAGGAGGCCCCGGAGACCACAACCCGGGACTTCGGTACGTGCGCTCTTGGGACAGGGGAGGGCGCTGGGGACCGGCGCGGGCGCTCCCGGAACTTAGCACTGCCGCCCGGGAAGACGCGGACGCGGCGCGGCGGGGTGGGCGGCCGGCCGGGCAGTCGCGCGTGGAAACTGTGGGACCCGCGGGACCCGCCGGGAAAGGAGAAGGAGCCGCCCAGGAGTGGCGGGGATAGGGACACGAAGACGAGGATCGGGGCAAGGGCCGACCCTGCGTGGCGAGGTGGGCGAAATTTGCCGCCTCCATTTCTGGTCCCAGTCTGGCTTACCAGATGTTTATTTACTCCTTGGTGAGGTTGATATTTGGCTTACTGGAGAGGCCTCCTGGGGTTTGCAGGGTGCTCTTGCCCCAGTCCCATATCCCCCCAATCGTAAGTGTGCCCCAAAAGTGGGGACTGGGGTGTGGGGAGCGGTGCCGCTCATGGGTCACCCTGACCCCACATGGTCAGCAAGAGGCTGGCACCTGTGCACCCACACACTTAGGCTCTGAGCAAGAGAGGTCCAGGACAATTAACTGGAGTCACTACTAACTGGTCTACCTGGCTGCTTATGTGACCGGAAGTTCTTTATTGAAATGACAGCTACTGGTTGGATTAACCTGGGGATGGAGAAGCCTAGGAGGGGACAGCCAAGGAACTCTCCCTAGCTCCTCAGTCAGCCTTGAAGCCCTCCAGCCCCCACCCCCACACCGTGGTGTCCATTCGTGGGGAGGTTGGGGATCCCTGCTATTTGTGTGACTCATGGTGCTGGCCTGGGGGCTCCTTCTGGGGCAAAAAAAAGATCACCTGTCACAACTCTGCTACCCTGCCTTCATCATCACCACGCTGTCATCTTCACTGGTCTGACTACCCCCCTACCGCCCCGGGTGGCTGCCCTAAGCTGTTACAGCCTTGGTTCCTGCTGATGGGTTCAGTTCAGTACTCAGGCTGCCAAGGCTGGGATGCAGAAAGACTGCATTGAGAGTGGGGCAGACGGGATGTGTGGCCCAAGCAACCACAGAGCATCCTGGAGGTGAACAGAACTAACCGTGAGCTGTGTAGCCCCTTCCTGAGCCGTGGCTGACTCCAGGTTACAAAGTGCAGGGGACGCAGCGAGATGACCTCTGAATGGGGCCAGACTTTGGGCTGAGAGGAAAGGCCATTCCAGCGGAGCAAACAGCAGGAGCAGCAGCCGAGGGGCACGGGCAAGGTTGCTGCACTAGTTGGGATCTGGCCGCTACCAGGTGTGCTGGCAGGGGCCGCAGGGCCTGTGTCCTTCCCAGGCCTGAGTGAAGACATTTCATAGTAGATTCAGGTCGCCCCCTTCTTAGGGGAAGCTACCCAGCTGAAACTCTTGGTGGCATTAATTTGTTGAATTCTCCTAGAGCCAGGAACTCTCGTCTCTCCTGTCTGACAGATGGGAGGACTGGAGAGTCCAGGCAAGTTACGCAAGTTGCCTGAGGTCACACAGCTGTGAACAGTAAAGCCAGGGTTTTCTTAAGTGCACGGGTCAATGGTTCAATGCTTTTTTTTTTCTACCCATTTTCATTTAAAGAAGCCCCAATCTGGTAACTCATTTTTTAAAATTACATTTTAAAAAAAAATCTATTTGAAAAGTGGAATGACAGAGAGGGAGAGACAGTGAAAGAGAGATCTTCCATCTATAGACTCCCTACTCTCCACTCCCCTGGACCATCCTCTGCTGCTTTCCCAGGTACTTTAACAGGGAGCTGGATCAAAAGTGGAACAGGAGGCCCGGTACAGTAGCTTACCAGCTAAAGTCCTTGCCTTGGATGCACTGGGATCCCATATGAGTGCCAGTTATAATCCCAGAGGCCCCGCTTCCCATCCAGCTCCTTGCTTGAGGCCTGGGAAAGCAGTCAAGGACAGCCCAAAGCTTTGGGACCCTGTACCCACATGGGAGACCAGGAAGAGGCTCCTGGCTTCGGGTCAGTTCAGCTCCAGCCATTGTGGCTGCTTCGGGAATGAATTAATGGATGGAAGATCTTCCTCTCTGTCTCCTCTGTATATCTGACTTTGCAATAAAAATAATCTAAAAAACAAAACAAAACAAAACAAAACAAAACAAAGAAACAAAAAACAAGTAGAACAGCCAGGACTTGAACCAACATCCCATTGGGCATTGCAGATGGTAGCACTTAACCTGTTGTGCCGTATCTGCAGCCCCTCAGCTGTCACTGCAATCTTAGTTTGTTTATTTTTTTAAGGTTTATTTTCATTTTTATTTTCATTTTTATTGGAAAGGCAGAGTTACAGAGAGAAAAGAAAGATCTTACATCTGCTGGTTCACTCCTCAAAATGCTGCAGTGGTTAGAGCTGAGCCATTTGGAGCCAGGAGCCTCTTCCAGTCTCCTACATAGGTATAGGGTCCCAAGGCTTTGGGCCGTCCTCTACTGCTTTCCCGGGCCACAAGGAGGGAGCTGGATGGGAAGTGGAGCAGCTGGGATACAAATCAGTGCTCGTATGGGTTCCTGGTGCTTGAAGAGGGAGGATTAGCCAATTGAACCATCATGCTGGACCTTGCAGTCTGGGTTTAAACTTTCATTATTCCGCAGTCTCCCAGGCAAGACAGAGCCCATCTGTGGGAGCCAGGCAGAGAAGCCTGTAGGCAGCCAGCTTGTGAATCAGCCCTGTGGCTGAAGGCAGCTGGGGAAGAAGTTGATGTGAGGGGTGTGTGCCTTGGGAATATTGTCCTGTTCATCTCCCCGCACACACGCTTGCTCCTCCAAGGTGTGTTCTTCCTGGCAACATGCCTCTAGGAGCTTCCTGACTACACAAGCTGCGACGGTCCGGCTTCTCTGGTGAGAGAAGATGGACTTGGGGCCTGGGCATCTCAGGCGTCTGCTGCCTTCGCCAGCCTGGGCAGGACTGGAGCCTGAAGGACAGCCCCTCCTGGTCCCCAGGGCAGGGCTGGTCTCCTGATGACTCAGCCTGGCCATGCCTGCACAGGGAGGGGTGGAAACCAGCATGCATATAGGAGGATGGCTCCTTGGTGCCAGTGGGCATGGAGGAGGCCGGGCCCATACTGAACCCAGGGTTGGGGAGGGAAGTGATACTGGGGATTCTGGGAAAGGGTGGGGATGTCAGTCAGACCTACCTTTGGTCCCTCCTCATTCAACAAGGTGGGCTCAGCCACTCAATAGGGGTAATGTTTGACTGCCTGGTGGAGGAGGGTCTAACATGGTATCTCTTTGGGGAGCATTTAAAAAGAATTCTCTAGGAGGTGGCACAGCAGGGTAAACTACCCCTAACAAGACAGCATCCCACTTAAGTCCCACCTGCTCTACTTTCAGTCCAACTCCCTGCTAATACTTCTGGGAAAGCAGCAGAGGAAGGTCCAAGTGTTTGGGCCCTTGCACCTATGTGGGAAGCTCTTGGCTCCAGGCTTTGGACAGTGCCCAGGCCTGGACAGTTGTGGCCATTTGGGGAGTGAATCACTAGATGGAAGATACCTCCTGTCACTCTGCCTTCCAAATAAATATATAAATGGTATAAAGCCAGGTTGGGCAAACTGTGGCCTTGGCACATATCTGGCTCATGGCTTGTTTGGGCCAGTGAAATCAGCTTAGAACATAGCCGGCTGTGCCAGTCTGGTGTTGGTAGCTGCGTCTGTGTTTGGCCGGCCCAGCTGCCCTGACAGCCCCCAGAGGCCCGGACTCCTCACTGTCTGGCTTGTCAAGCCTGCTGTGATTCACTGTCATCAAGTCAGTCCCAGCGCCCAGCACTTCCTGTCCCTACCTGTTCCTCCTCTTCCCCACAGCGCTGCAGAGCAGAGGCAGCGGAGGCCTTCCTAAAGCTTGCAAGGGGCTAGGAGGAGCGTTCCAGAGGGCCCTTGGAAGGGATCTGGCCCTGGGGGACAGCTTAAGGAGACTGGGGGACTAGGGGTGTGTGAGAAGGAGCCTCTGGCTCTGTGGCTCCAGCTGTTTGTGGTCAGGTGACAGAGGTAACGGATTCAGTTTTCTGGAAAGCTTGTCCAGGTATTGCAGGTCTTCAAGGAGGCCTTCTGCAATCCTAATTAGCCCCGCTGCCCTCCCACCCCAGCTGGGAATTCCAGAAGGCCCCACCCCAGAAGTAACAGGGGTGGATCTTTGTAAATCCCTGGATAAAAGGCCGGGCTGCATCCAGACTGCCTCCCTGGCCTCTTGTGGGAATGGAGTGACTACTCACCTGCCCCCCCACTCCAGGAGCAAGACAGCCTTGGTCCTTTAAAGCACCCTGGTCACCACCACCCCTTCAAATGCAGTTTCTCAGGGTACCACCTCTGGCAGAATGTTCTAGTCACTGGGCCCAGGCTCTGGAGGGGTAGGGGGGTTGGTTGTCTTTTGTTCCAGAAGATTTGAAGCTCCTGGAATTTCCTTCTCTACCTGGAGCTGTGCCATTCTTTTTCTCCTAAGGACACTTTGAAGGGCCTGCAGCTGGGGAGCTATGACCCAGCCCAGTTCTCCCCTGGGGTGCCCAGCTGCTCCTGGGGTCCCCTGACCTTGACTTCTCTCAGGCCAGGCAGAGAGGGGTGAGAGGCCTCGGAGGCCCAGGCCATGCACCTAGTTCCGGCCAGGGCCAGCCTGGCACCAGCCCGCTGCGAGTTGACCTGTGCTGGGCAGGTGTGTGAAGGAGACTTTTATTGACTCCTGTCCCCGGAGGTGCACTGCGGTTTGCCACCACTTGGTACACACTTCCACACCCTCACCGCTGCCCATTACATAAGCGTCTCTGGTTGCTGAAGTTCAATTCCAGAAAGCCAAGCTCTCCCTGGGACCCCTGCAAATCAGCTACAGGTGTGCCTTTTGGCACCCTGCCAGTAAAGTAACATGGAATAGTGTATAATCACAATGATGGGAGACCAGTTAGTGAACTGGGCTGTGTGCTAAAAACTGCTCGTGGCGTCTCCATGGAGGAGGCCCACTTGGAGGGAATTCTCTGAAAGTTCATGCTTCAAAGTCATTCCGAAGCAGAGCCACTGGAATCTTGTTGGGATTGGGCT